CCGGCTGCTCCTCAGAAACCCTATTTCATTATGAGTTGGAATTGACCCTATGGTACTTAATAACAACAGCGTATTTATTTATATGGCCAAGAACTGAAAAATTGAAGGAAGTAGGCAAAGCTGCACTGAAGGCATTGGTAAAAACAGGGCTCCACATTGATAGAATACAAATTGAAATGTTTTAGCAAACTGATGCAGTGTACTGGAGGCACTAATAAATCTATGCCAAGAAATGTGAATTACAGCTATGTGGCCAACTGATTGGAAGAGGCCGATATTTACGCCCCTGCCAAAGGTGATCCAATGGACTGTGGAAATCATTGAACAGCATCATTAATATCACATGCAAGTAAAATTTTGCTGAAGATCGTTGACAGGAAGCTGTCAGAAATTCAAAATGGATTCAGAAGAGGATGTGGTACGAGGGATAACATTGCCATGTCAGATGGATCTTGGCTGAAAGCAAAGAATACCAGAAAAATGTTTACTTGTGCTTTATTAACTGCGCAAAGACTTTCAACTGTGTAGAGCATGGAAAATTATGGATAGCATTGCACAGAATGGATATTCTAGAACACTTAATTGTGCACATGAATAATCTGTACATCGACCATGAGTTCATCTTTCAAATAGAACAAGAGGATACTGAATGGTTTAAAAGATGTATGACAAGGTTGTATCCTTTCACCATATTTATTTAATTGGTATGCTGAGCAAATAATCTGAGAAACTGGGTTACGTGAAGAAGAACATGGCATCAGGTTTGGATTAAGACTCACTAGCAATCTGCAAAATGCAGGTAATACAACCTTGCTTGCTGGAAGTGAAGAGGACTGAAAATACTGATGAAGATCAAAGACTACAGCCTTCAGTCTGGGTTGGACCTCAATGTAAAGAAAACAAAAATTTTCTGAAGTAGACCAGTAAATAAAAGCATAATAAATGGATAAAGATTGAAGTTCTCTAAGAGTTCATTTTACTTGGATCCACAATCAACACTCACGGTAGCAGCCGTCAAGATAGCAAATGATATATTGCATTAGACAAATCTGTTGCAAAAGACCTCTTTAAAATGGTAAAAAGCCGAAGATGTTAGTTTGAGGACTTAAATGCTTCTGACCCAAGCCATGTGATTTTCTGTGGCCTCATATGTATGTGAAAATTGAACAACGAATAAAGAAGACCTTAGAAGACCGATGCATATGATTTACGGTGTTGGCAAAGAATACTGGAAGTATGTGGACTGCAAGAAGAACAAATAAATCAGTCTTAAAAGAAGTATATCCAGAATATTCTTTAGACGTAAGGATGGCAAATTATCACTTGTACTTTGTACATTTTGTTAGGAGGATCATGTCCTGGAGAAGGACATCTTGCTTGGTAAAGTGAAGAGTCATCAACAAAGACCCCCAACAAGATGGATTGATACAGTGGCAGTAACCAGCTCTATGTCATCTAAGAACAACAACAACATGGGACATCACATGATATGAAGAGGTCCATACTGTCTTGCAAATATCTTCTTTATTGGTACTGTGCTTCTCCCCCCACCCCCCTTCTTCAACATAGAGAATGCATTTATAATTGCTATTTTAAAGTCCCTGTCTGATAACTGTATTACATATTTTATTTCTAGCTCCTTGTCTATTTATTGATTTTTTTTTTT